TGGCGCCAGCCTCTGCTTCTCTCCCTCGGCAGCCTGAAGACCCTCAGCCAGAAGAACAGCTTCTGGATCCACAGGGTGCAGTGCCGGGGCACGGAGCCCCACTTGTCCCGCTGCCCCACACAGGTGGCCCCACCAGCCCCCCACCAGCATGCCTGTCCCCGTGGCATGCACGCCATTGTCAGCTGCCTCCCCAGCCCTGCCTTCCCGAAGGGCACAAGCAAAGGCAAGAGCAAGACCTCCTCAGGAAAGGTGAGCCCCAGCATGGTCCCACACCCTCATCCTACTGATGAAGGCTCTTGGAGCCAGACAGCACCCAGCCATCCCATTTGCACCCATGCCTGTGGTGCAGGCAGGTGGCTGTGCCTATGACCACTGACCATCTGTTCCCCATGCCCAGATCCTCCCAGTACGGCTGCGAGCTGGCACCCACGCCGGTGAGGGCCGGGTAGAGGTGCTGCACCACGGGCAGTGGGGGACTGTGTGTGACAAGCAGTGGGACCTGGCTGCAGCCAGTGTAGTGTGCCGGCAGCTGGGCTATGGGACAGCAAAGCAGGCCCTGGTGGGTGCCCAGATGGGCCAAGGTGAGGCATATGGTGCAGCAGGGACTTGGGACCTAACTGGGCATGGAGAGGCACAGTGGGGAAAGCCTCTGGTTCACTGGATGCTGCTGGAGCATCCTGAGATGTGCAGCCAGCTCCCACCTGCACTGGAATGGGGCTCCCCAGGCTGCTTCTGCTATGGGCAGCTTCTTGCTTGTAGGGAACACCCAGACCGGGAGAAGGACTGTGTAGGTCCTCCCTGCTCTGGGACAGGCACAGAGCAGGGCGTGCTGACTCTCCCTCCACTTCAGGCTTGGGACCCATCCACATGAGTGAGGTGCGCTGCACCGGCCAGGAGCGCTCCTTGGGCGAGTGTCGCTTCCAGGATGCCAAGCAGAGTGGGTGCCAACATGAGGCTGACGCTGCTGTTCGCTGCCACATGCCCCGCATGGACTTTCAGAGCCAGGTGAGCTCTTGCCTTCTCCCCAGAGCCTGTGAAGCCCCATCCCCATTGCACAGCCCCTGTCCCTTAAGCTCTGTGCCTGGTGTGGATGTTCAGAGCAGCCCTAGGTTGGCCCTGGGGACAGGGGGGACACAGAGCAGCACACTGCTGGGAAGTTGCAGAATGAGCTGTTAGCTGAAAGTGTTGGACTGCCTACCCAATTACAGAGCTGGGCAGAAGGGCTGGGGGTCTGCCCCATGCTCCAGCTCAGCACTTCCTTGCCCTCAGGTGCGGCTGGCTGGGGGCCGAAGCCCCGAGGAGGGGGTGGTGGAGGTGCTGGTGCCGGTGCAGGGGCGGCTGCAGTGGGGCGCAGTGTGCGGTGCCCAGTGGGGGCTGAACGAGGCCATGGTCGTCTGCCGGCAGCTGGGACTGGGCTTTGCCAGCCATGCCCTCCAGGTAAGCCCCAGGGCCCTTGTTGTGAGAGTTCAAATGGAATGTGTGGTATGGGCGTGGGTTGGCTGGGGCTCTGGGATGGGACAGCCCCAGGAGACAAGCCCTGGTGGCACTGCTGGGGCAGGGGAGGCAGTGGGTGCTGGCAAGGGGTTCAAGGACTGGTCTGAGCACTCTGTTCCTCCTCTGCCCAGGAGACATGGTACTGGGCAGGCAGCCCAGATGCCACTCAGGTGGTGATGAGCGGGGTGCGTTGTGCTGGTACTGAGCTGGCCCTCCAGCAGTGCCAGCGCCACGGCCCCATCCACTGCCCCAGCGGCGGGGGGCGCCTCTCCGCAGCGGTCACCCTCCTCTGCCCAGGAGACATGGTACTGGGCAGGCAGCCCAGATGCCACTCAGGTGGTGATGAGCGGGGTGCGTTGTGCTGGTACTGAGCTGGCCCTCCAGCAGTGCCAGCGCCACGGCCCCATCCACTGCCCCAGCGGCGGGGGACGCTTCTCAGCAGGGGTCACCTGCACTGCCCGTGAGTACCAGGGGCCCATGGGGTATAGCTGGGAGGGGCACCCCCCTTCTCCTGGCACAGAGAGCAGGATATCCTCATCTATAGGATGAGGATCAGCTGCTCTATCCCCACTGATCACCTCTGTGCCAGATGCCCCGGACCTGGTGATGAATGCCCAGCTTGTGCAGGAGACAGCCTACCTGGAGGACCGGCCACTGGGGCTGCTGTACTGTGCCCACGAGGAGCGCTGCCTCTCCCGCTCTGCTGACCACATGGACTGGCCCTATGGCCACCGCCGCCTGCTCCGCTTTTCTTCCCAAATCCACAACTTGGGCAGAGCTGATTTCCGACCCAGGATGGGGCGTCATGCCTGGACCTGGCACCAGTGCCACCGGTGAGTGGCCCGTGGGCAGGGGCTGGCACGGAGCTGCCCCCTTTCCAGACCAGGCAGGGTGCAGGGGCACCCATCCCCCAGAGAATGGCCCGCCCGGGGTAATAAGCAGCATCCACACCAGCACTGTCATTACAGCTTTATTTGGCTTCAAGGCTGTAATTTGCTCAGACCCTCTGGGTGCTGCCTGCCCTGGCTGAGTGGCTGGGCCAGGACATGCTCCCTTGGCAGGGATTGGCCCCACGCTCAGCTCCTGTCCCTGCAGGCACTTTCACAGCATTGAGGTCTTCACTCACTATGACCTGCTGACACTCAATGGCTCCAAGGTGGCTGAAGGGCACAAAGCCAGCTTTTGCCTGGAGGACACCAACTGCCCTGAGGGTAGGTGCCAGCTGCAGAGCTGCCAGTGACCCCCTCATCCTGGTCCCTGACAGGGGCCCTGGCTGTGCCCTCCCTCACCTCCTCTGCCTTCCACAGGGCTGCAGCGTCGCTTTGCCTGTGCCAACTTTGGGGAGCAAGGGGTGAGTGTGGGGTGCTGGGACACCTATCGCCATGATATTGACTGCCAGTGGATTGACATCACTGACGTGCCACCGGGCAGCTACACATTCCAGGTACAGGAAAGGAGGGACAGGGATTGCCCCAAGCTCGGGGCTGACAACCACCCTCCATGGGCACCACCAGCACCCCTAACCCTGCATATCAGGGTTCTGCCCTGGACCTCACAGTGCATGATGCCACAGCCCTGTCTGGCCAAGGCATGGCATCAGTGCCCCCAGTCCTGCTCCTCCCTTCCCAGGTGGTCGTGAACCCCAAGCACGAGGTGGCTGAGTCAGATTTTTCCAACAATGTGATGCGGTGCCAGTGCAAGTATGACGGGCAGCGTGTCTGGATGCACGGCTGCCACACAAGTACGGGGGCAGAGGAGGCATGGAGGGCAGGGACAGGGGAAAGCAGCAGGGCTGGGGGTCGCGCAGGTCCCATGTACCCCCCACCCACACCATTACTCTCCTCAGGTGATGCTTATGGCGCCGACGTGGTGAGCGATCTGGAGCGACGGGAGCGCCTGGCCAACAACCTTGTATGACCCCAGCATGGGCACACTCCCGGCAGCACCGCGGGGCAGCCCGGCTCCCGCGCCCTGGCAGCACCGGACTGAGCTCAGGGACTCAAAGACTTTGTATTTATTGATGCTGCTGCAGAGGATGGAGACAAGTACCAGGGTTGGCGGGGAGTGCCTAGGGGTGCCCAGCCCTGTGCTGCTGGTGGGAGCTGCAAGAGGAGCCCAGGTGCCACAGCAGCCCTGACCTCAGCGGCTCCAGTGCCCCCCCAGGATGACTACCTCAGTCTGCCCACCTGGCCCCCTGGTCCCAGCAGATTCAGGACAGGCCTTGGCTATTGCCATGTGTGCACCAGTCCTGTCCTCAATAAAAAGTGCTGTGCAATGGGAGAGGGGATAACTCCTTACCAACCCCACCATTCCCAGCTCCATCCCCTGCACTTTTCCCCACCAGGATCATTGAAGCCAGTCCCCAGACAGGAACAGCCGTGGTATAGGTAATGTTCCTTCAGCCAGATAGTGTCCTCCCTCTGCCACCCAGGCCACCAGCCCCACAACTGCCTGCATGTGGCCCATGCTGAGTGGCCCCAACTTGCCACCAGCAGTCCCTGCTGGCCAGAGTATCCTGGCCCTGAACTGCCTGACCCTGTGCATGCAAAGGGACTTGGCCAGAGCTGTGGCAGCATGGCCCACCAGCTGCCGCAGATGCAGCCACCATTACTTTCCCAGACTGCCTTGGCAGATTCCCAGCCCCAGGAGCTGGGATGGGGGCTGCTCTGCCCCTCAAAGCAACTTGCTTCTGGGCACTGGGTGGGACACAGGGGACACCCTTGCGCTGTTTCTTTCCTCTAGTGGTTTCTAGCATTTTTTTTAAAAAGGAAATAAATGGGAATACTCACAACTGACCCACAGTGCAATGCCCAGCTCCTGGCAAGCCAGCTAGCAGGCAGTGCCACCCCTGTCCTTGCACACTCCTGCCCATCCCCACCTTGCCAGCATACACCAGCCCAAGGGTGAGGGGCTACCAGCACTCACTTCAGCCCTGCACAGCTGGGACGGGTTGTACTCACACGTGATGGTCCCCACACGTGGAGGAGCTGCCGGGGACAGCAGTGACGTGCTGGGTGGCCTGAGGCCAAAGTCCGTGGCAAAACACGTGCCAGCAGAGGCTCACTCCACTGTGGTTGGGGTTCAGGGGATGCTGGATTGCAGAGAACATGCTTTCCACATGAGAGCATCTTCGTGCCCTGAAATTTCCACTGTCTGTGGAGCAGCAGCCGAGACAACATCCAGCTGGCACCATCAGTGCGGGGGCAGGCAGCCACCACCACCGGGTCATGACCAGCTCCGCTGCCGCCAAGCTGGGGGACAGCCAGGGGACATGGGGCAGCCACACAAGCCCTTCAGAGCAGGCTGAGGGGAG